TAAAAATACCAGCAATACATTTTTTATATTAAAAAAAAGTTACCGACAATATATATTTTTGTAAAATTAACGACAACATATTTTATAGAAAATGACTAACAATACATTTTATATGTAGGTGAAGGTATACAATTGCATTCAAAATACATTTAGATGAAGCCATAAAATTGTATTCAAAATAATTAGATTTCGGCATTAAATAACCCTTAGAGGTTGATATACCGCTAAACGAAACCAAACAAGCAACATGAAAGAGCTTTCATTACATTAATCCATATAATATCCTACAATTACTATAGAAGTCAAACTTTATTCCAAAATATAACTTCAGCAAAATGACAACATAAAACCCAGATATAATCGCCTCTAGTAATTATGTCCACACAAACATGTATATGCACAAAAGCTGAATATCATCTACCATGTCTTCAATTGGGAAAGCAGAATTAAATTTGTAATATTCAACTTTAAATATTTTTATTACTTCAAATCTCAAAAAATAATTAAATTTCGACATTAAATAACCCGTAAGGAGTTGATATGTCGTTAAACAAATAAATTAATCAAAGGCTGACACCAAGGTTGACATCGAAAGAGTTTGAACATCAGTTGGTCTCACATTTTATATCAAAACCTCAAGAAACGTAGCATCTATAAACCTGTTGACAAATACGAAACAATAGTGTTTATAGTGGTAATTAAACATTTCCATAAGCATTAGTAACTTCAATTGTAAGATACGCGATGACATCGGACAGTCTATTAATCTGCCAACTGCTTTTTGCAATGTTCTAGAGGCTCTGGTCAATTCTGAATTGGATGAGCATCTTACTTCGCAGGGCCTTCTTTCAGATAAGCAATACGGCTTTCGCTTTTCTATGTCAACTGCTGATGTATTAACGGTTATTTCTGAAAGTGGCTATCTAGTTCTAGATATGCATAGTGAAGCTCGGGCTGTTGCTTTGGATATATCGAATGCACTTTGCAGGGTTTGGAATACAGATCTTCTTCACAAGTTAAAAGATGTCTAAAGCGAATTTTTTATCTGATTCAATCTTCCCTATCAAATCGCGAAATGAATGTTGTCTTGAGTGTCCATTCTTCTATATAGTTTTTCAGGTGCTCCCCAGGGCTCTATCCTTGAACCTACGTTGTACCTAACTTCCCCAACGACATTCCTGATGTCATCATTTCTCAACTTGGTATATATGCGGATGATACAACTATTTACCCCTGTCATGATGATAAATAGACACAGTGGGGTAATTGATAGCGGTTCGGTAAGAGAGCTGAATTGGAACTCCAGTCAAGTTCATTACATTCACTTACGTATGGAAAGATATGGATCCAACTCTTTTCCTCTTGTCTATGGGTAAATAGTAGGACAGATTGTGTTCTATAGCTTTGGGTAGCAACCGGTCTAGGAGTAGGAAAATTCTGAATTCAGAACTGTATGTAGCCCTGGAGAAGCACATACTATGCAGCTAAGGAAAGGACCGTTTGCATTGCCTCGATAATCCCGACTACGGTCGACTGCTTTCTTTTTAATAGTAAGTCTTATCGGTTCGACCAGAATTACGGTCAAGTTGACAGATGATCTAAAAAAAATGACCTACAATCTGTTAGGCAACAATCAGCTAACACTGATATAAAGTGGAAAGATTATATTGAATCAGTCGCTAGGTCTGCTGCTAGGAAAGTTTGTTCACTGTATCAACTTCTCTCGATAAAATCTATTTTACACAATTATAATTCTACGACGCGATCATGCTTTTAATATTGCTGCAGCATCTGGTTTGGTGCTCCTGCTATATATTTAGAGATTCTTGATAAAGCCCAAAGAATTTGCAACGATATTGGTCCTGATTTGACATCTCGGCTACAGACCTTTTCCCACCGCGGTAATGTCTCTTCCTGATGCCTTTTCTATAAATACATTTCATGGTAATTGTTCTTACGAGCTTTCCTCTGTGGTAGCTAGACTTTATGAATGTGAGCACAGTACTAGATTGGCAGCAAGATCCTGTAGAATATTGGTTAGCTTGCTAGTTGTCTGACACACAAGTAGGCAAGTGTGGCCAGAAGCTAAACGGTATTTAGTCACCCCACCCCCCAACGAGGGCATCATGTGGCACAAGGCCGGTTTAACGTGGGATCTCCGAGCCAAAAATATGCCCTTTGAACTCGTATAAACGGATTCAGGGTCGGTTTACCTCCCCGAAAGAGACTCCGACCTTCGGCGTAGCCTCGTTCGGGTTCCTCCCCGCCCGAACGCAGAGATTTCAACCGATCAGCCGGTCGCCCGACTTCGGGGTGAACTGGCCAGAAGCTAAAACTGACTTGAGTCATATGGATATATGGGTGAATAGAAACCACTCATGCAAATGTTTTGGGTAGGTCCATTCTAGCAAAATGGACCAACCTAACTGGCGTATTAGGCACTCTCCTATAAAATGAGGTAACATTAGCTGGCCTGCTTTTCAAGAGGACACAAGAAGGCAGCCATGTTAGTAGGTAAGTCACTTGACTTCTATAGATCCCATCTTTTTACAGCTGGAATGGCGAGGTGTAACCGTAAATCCTGTGTTTCTTCTCTTGCACTTCTCGGTTGTGGAACTCTCTTCGAACATCCTGCTTCCCAATCAACTTTAAAGATTTAAATGCAATGTTATCTACTGTCTTTTTTTATTCTTTTTCTTTATTGTTTTCTCTCCTTAATAGTGTTTTTTTTTCTTATATTCTCGAACTTTCAGTAACCCCTTCTGTCTTAATGCCTTTATAAACTTGCTCGGGATTAAATTATTAAAAAAAAAAATAGACTGATGATTACATAGAAAGAACGTGCGTTAAAAGGAGCGGCTTAATTCTGTTTTTTTTCCGGGTGGCGGGTCTGTTACTTGAATGTGCGGCGTTCGTATTGCAGAATACCAGAAGGCAGTAATCAATGAAAGATGTGTTAATATAATCATTTATTCGAGGAAGATTATAAAAGGAACTGTGCCCAGTTGTATTGCTTGGAATGTTCAAAGTGTTCTTCCTCGTGATCAGTGGTCAATTGCAGCCGAGCAGACTCTTGAGTGGAACACGGACACGCCCGAGTTCGACACCAATTTCCTCAAAGGGTGCTGTGATTGCAGCCTTTTGAATTCTAAACAATACTAATTTATTCACGATAAAGAAGTTCTTTCATGAGACCCCAAACAAAGAAATCTGAAGCGTACTGGTCACACAGTCTGGCCTCGGCGTTCAAACCAAAAAGAAATGAAATTCAATAACCGGCAAGATAAATATTAAAAATTTATAACTTCCCCAAAAATAGAACTTAAATGTTTATTCACTATATATATATATATATATATATATATATATGTGTGTGTGTGTGTGTGTGTGTGTGTGTGTGTGTGTAAGATTTTGCAAAATATATATATATATATATATATATATATATATATATATATATATATATATAGGATTAATGTGAGTAAAATTAGTCACTTAGCTGATTGCTGTAACCTTCATCATCCTGACTCCAGAGTTTCGTGGACGAACATCGCCGTCCACTCTTCAGGGGGTATTTGCTTATTTTTTCGATTTTTTTCTTTTGATTCACATTTAACATTGGTGTAAGTTTTCTTCTGTATTGTCTGTGTTTGCGGATGCGCTTGTCTGCGTGAGGGTTATGCGTCCGTTTCTGCTTTTGCGCGTTCGCTCGCATCCGCCCGTCTGCATGAAGTGCATCATGATTATTTTGGTCTTTTCTTCGTTTTTGTTTTTTGTTGTTGTTGTTTTTTGCTCATTTTTGTCCTTTTTTTCCTTCTTTTTTCTTCTGTAGCCGACTTAGTCTGGATTTCTTCCGACTCTAGACATGTGACCTATTTTTAGTTATTTATTTACTTATTTTTTTTTTTATTAATGGACATTTTAGAATTTTTGCTTGGGAAGTTGTATTTAGTATATTTACGTTTTTCATATAAATAATTGATATTAATGCCTAGGTAATAAATATTTGTTACATATATTTATATATATATATGTGTGTGTGTGTGTGTGTGTGTGAAAAGTGTGTGTATATAAATATAAATAAATATATATATATATATAATTATTTATATATTATATGCGCGGAACTTATTAGAAAGCACTCAATGTCAGAGATTAAAGCTAACATATTTGAGTTGGATTGATGTGAGTTTGTGACCCTTAGGGTTTCACGCTTTTGCGATCGTCAGACAAACTGACGATCGCAAAAGCGTGAAACCCAATGTCACAAACTCACATCAATCCAACCAAATATATATATATATATATATATATGTTTGTGTGTGTGTATGTGTGTGATACTAATGGTATTGATGCTTAAATAGTAAATATTTATGCATACACATGCATACATATACAAATATATATACACATATATAAATTTATACATGCATGCACACATACACATATTGATATATGTTCACTTGGCTACTATTTCGTTATATATAGATATATATATATATATATATATATGCACAGGGATCAATGGATGAATTTTCGTATCAGTTACGCAAAATATGTCAATAAAAGTGACATTTATATATATATATATGTGTGTGTGTGTGTGTGTGTGTGTGTGTGTGTGTGTGTGTGTGTGTGTGAAGATTTAATGGGCCGGTTAATGAAATTTGAGGAACAAAAAGGCAACAAAAAGATATCTGCATTATCTACAATAAGATTGATGATATTCATTATATTATTATATTGAGTTTTAACCAAAACTGAAACACGGAGCGAAAGATGTTAAAGTCGGTATTTTCGAAACCACCTGCATCATTTTTCAAGGAATAAACAAAGAATTATCCTTTCCTTCATCCGAGGAATGTTATACTTGTTGCTTAAAGGGATCTCTGTGGAAACTATACTCTCTGAGTAAACCCAAGTAGCTGTTTAATCCTTTAATGTGTCATCTCAGTTTGAAAATATATTTTAATTTCCATCTGCGTCTTTCTTGTCGGATGTTAAATGAAGTCGCGATAGATAGATAGATAGATAGATAGATAGATAGATAGATAGATAGATGAATAGATAGATAGATAGATAGATAGATAGATAGATAGATAGATAGATAGATAGATAGATAATCGCGTGAATATACCGTAAGGTTGAAACCAAGGTAGCGTATTAAACTGATCACCTGATTTTAAAATTAAACGCTCTGCATGTTATTTTTATTTTATTTTTTCACATATATATTGAGCCCTCCTACTGGTTCCTGGTATGATTTAACACAGACCATTAACCTTTTAGTTTTTATTTGAACTTTAACCTATCCTTTATATATATATATATATATATATATATATATATATATATATATATATATATATATATATTATCTCATTACATAATAAGATAAATAAAGTTTATTCAATGAGATATATCTTAATGAAAACATGCCCAACAAATTTTTTACAGAAAATAAACACATTCACACACACATACATACACTTATATATATATGTGTATATGTGTGTATGTGTGTGTGTGTATGTGTGTGTGTGTGTGTGTGTGTGTGAAAAGTGTATATAAATATAAATAAATATATCTATGTATAATTATTTATATATTATATGCACGGTACTTATTAGAAAGCGCTCAATATCAGAGATAGAGCTAACATATTTGGTTGGATAGATGTGAGTTTGTGACCCTGGGTTTCACGCTTTAGCGATCGTCAGACAAAGTTTGAATAATGAAATAACTGCGTTACTTAAATTTAGAATTTCTCTCTCTGTTCACTTCTAAATAGACAGACATACACACAGACAAAAGGACACATAAATATATATATATATATATATATTTATAGAGAGAGAGAGAGAGAGAGAGAGACAGAGAGAGAGTGAGCGAGAGAGAGATTCTAAAGAAGTAACGCATTTATTTCATTATTTATTCTTTAAGAAATTACTTTGTTTACGTTTGGATATTTTTTGAGCAAATTTCCAGGAATAAATCAAATTAATAAGGTCGATAATTAATAATAAGCTTTCCCTGGCCTCTCACCTCGAGATTTCGTTCTTTAGATATTCATGAAAGAACTTCTTTATCGTGAATAAATTCGTATTATTGAAAAATCGGAAGTGAAACTTTGAGGAAAGCATGATAAGCTGGGGTAATTAATTTGATTTATGATACCCACTTAACCTCAGAGATCCCAAGATATCTTCTTCACACACAGTTTCGTCTTTCTTTCTTATTGAACTGATGAAGCCAAAGAGAGCATAAACTTCTCGGGAAAACCTGTCTTAAATAAAAAATTTTCCATATTTTTTCATATTTTTCTAAACGTCTTCATATAAATGTGTAAACACACACTATTCTCTCTCTCTCTCTCTCACACACACACATACACACATTAATATATATATATATATATATATATATATATATATATATATATAAAGGATAGGTTAAAGGACAAATAAAAACGTCTATCAATCAAACATGTTTCACTTTTATCAAAGCTTCATCAGAAAATGTGATATATAGAGAAAAAAGTTGGGTATTTTTATTTTTTTTGTTTTTTTCATTGGTTAAGCAGGCTTCACGTACATTTGACTATTTAAGCAGCGTTAATGTGTATAATTATTGCATTCTGAACTCAAGAATAGATGGCACGTTTTCTCGAAGGTCAAAATAAGAATGGATTGTAACTGGAAAAAGTATATATTACCTTATGTATGTAAGTGTATCATAATTCTAGTTTGTCTATGTGAAATTCAAATGATCTGAGCTGTAACTGACACCAATTCATATATATATATATATATATATATATATATATATATATATATATAGCTTCGAAAATCATCATGATTGATTTGTTCGACGCGGTGACTTCTTCATATTATCGAACGTCGGTGATCACCTTTGGAAAGTGCCTAACAACCATTCCATTGTTTGGCCCGTGCCCCATGTGTATTTGGGTAGGCGGAACTGCTTGTAAGTCATTAAATGTTGTACTACCGGGGATTTAATCGTACTGGCCTTGCTCAAGAAATTGACCACGCCAAGTTATGCGGTCTGTCGTATAAATGTTCGATCGTCATAGTTAAAATAAAAGCCACGTGTGTGCAATCTGGATTGAGCAGATTCTGTAATTGGGGTTAGGATAGTTGACCTGTAAACGTCTCTGCTTGAAAATGTTAGTAACCAGTACTTATCACATATATATATATATATATATATATATATATATATATATATATATATATATATATATAATTAACTTGGTTTCAATTTCGGTAGTGGATGCGGACTGCTGATAAGTCGCAAACATAGGACGAAACGGCCGTCCAGTGCTTTCTGCTTCTAGACTCGATGAATTACTTATATATAACATGCAGGATGTGTGTGTGTGTGTGTGTATAACGAATGCACGGTCGCAATTTTCGACGGATTTGCACCAAAATTTACATGCAAATGCTCTAAGTTAGCGGGAAGGCCAAGACCGACTTTGCATTTCCCAATTCCCATTGATAGTGGAAATAATCGATTTTTCATGCTTCTACGGCAGTTTTCATGTAGTTTGCAACCATTTTCTACTGGCCAGAGTGAGAGCCAATAGCTGGCTGCCACGAATAGGCAGGAAGATTCTATTGGACAGTGTGAGAGCCAACAACTGACTGACACGAATGTTAACTAGCATGCTAGGATAAAAAAAATCGATAGCTGCATTCGTCACAAGTGGGAAAAATTTAAATCTGCATGGCACTTTACTCCAATTGGCTCATTCGCTTGCTTAAACTCAGCGTTGATTCTGATTCCGCAGAATTGGATTGGGTGTGAAAAAGTATTTGTTGTTAACATTCTTTTTTCATTCGGTTTTTCCAGTTACGAGTCCTTTTTAAAAGCTGATCGTTTTGTGTTCATTTTGTTTAGTTCTTTTTTCGTAACAAATTTAATGTTTAGTATAGAGCTTAGAAAAAAATCGCAGTGTGAGATAGGCAAGAAGTAAGGCATGTAGCAACATCAGCACGGCAAAGGACACTCCTTTAAAGGCAAGGAAGGGGCAAAAATATTTTAAGTCAAGTGATAGCGATTGCTGTATGAGTCGTACGATTTTTGAATCAAGCACGGGCAATGCCAGGCCATGCTGCTAGTATATATATATATATATATAAGAAATCAGAGATGTAAAATAAGAAAAAAAGAGAGATCCTAATAAATTATGAATTACACAAGTTTCGAGAAATTTAATGGGACAATTCAAAAGAGCAAAAATTTTTTTTAATTCAGCAGAAACAAGAAAACCGAAAAAGAAAAAGAAAAGAGTGCAAACTAAATGAAGTTGGTGGAGGTATAAAATATGAAAGTTAATGAAAGAAAAGAAAAAAAGTCCGAAAATAAAGCGTGGAGAACAGAAAGACATTTAACGAAAGAACAGGAAGAGGTTTCAAAATCAAAGGAGAATGAATATCGAAAGGAAGATGATGAAAGAAATTTAATAACCGGCAAGATAAATGTTTTCACATGACTTCCAACGATTATGAACGCTTAGAATATTGACGAAATGAAGAACGGTTCCCAAAAGAAAAGACCAGACAGAAAAGAAATTCATAAAAAGAAGAAAAAGTCGGCAAATAAAAATAAAACATTTTTGAAAGAATAAAGACAAACCGAAGAAATAAAAAAAGAGCCCGATAAAATAAAGAGAGAGCGAAAAAGAAAATTAGTAAAGAAAGGAAGCTATTGAAAGAAAAGGAAACATAACAGTAAAAGAGAAAAGAAAAGATCCTGAAATGCAAAAGAGAATGCTAAAAAGAAAGGAATCAGGGGAAAGATAAAGCAGTCTTTCAAAGTAAAGGAGATAAAAAAAGAAAAGAAAGATTCCGAAAAAAAAGAGAGAAAGCTGAAAAGAAAGGAAACTGAAAAAGAAAAAAATATATAAAAAAAATAAATAATATGTCAGAAAAAATAGAAACACATGACAGAAAAAGAAAGCCACAAAAATATCGGAGATCAAAAATCAAAAAGGGCAAGAAAAGAAACAGGCTGAGTATGTATATTATTTACATTATTCGGACTATTGTCCGAATCTTTGTCGCCATATTTATCACAACGCTCGGAATTTCGAACTTTATTTCGCTCACAGATAGACTGTTCAAGTTCCACGTGCCATGTTTGAAAGTTCTCCACTGCTTTAACCGGGTATTGAACCCACACTCTCTGGGTCCTGTCACTGGATATAACCAACGCCTTTATCCACTGGGCCATGAGGACATCTAGGTATGAATTTCTGGGTATTATAAACCTAATGTCTTCAGCATTTTTACCAGTGCTCATATTGCAATTTTGCTGTTATCCTTTCAAGTTTTTACCAGAGGTCATATTGCAACTTTGTTGTTATCATTGCTTTCATACCCAGATGTCATACAACGATACTTCAATAACAAAGACTGTATATATATGTATTTCGCTACTAACACGTATTCCTGTAACTACTAACCTGCTTTACCAGTTTGTATTATTAAGTTAATACATTATTTTCCTATATTCATTCCTGGCGTTTGTTATTTATTGATACCGGATTTCAACACGGAATCCACAACAGTATGGAAAGGCGAATCTAAAGCAACAGCCAATATGAATATAAAAAAAATGCGTAAAAAAAAAGTTTTAACAACTTTATAAACTGTTATCGGGCACAACTCATGGTTACATTATAATGATCTGAAGCACCGATGTTGCTAGTCATATCACGTCAACAATTTAATACAAACAATTTTCTTCCATATATTTCCCTCATATATGCATATATTCTTCCTATAAATCTTACTAAACATGGCTAAAAGACTCAAAATGGAAATACCGTTATGATAATCTCCCAAAGTAGAAATGACTTTCCTAGAGAATCGGTAAATCAAGATCTCTCACTTCAACACTTCAACAAGATGGCATTCGTGTATATATATATATATATATATATATATATATAAAAGTGAACATAGAGACGACAGTCTGTTTCATGCTAGATGCAATCGACAGGCCACATATATACTACTCTCCCATTCCTATATATTATTTCCGTTAAGTTAACCATCTAAATAGGTCACGGTTCGGTCACTCCTCTTACCCCAATATAAAGCATGATTAAGAGAAATATGAAATTAACCCCTCTCTATACTCTACCTTGTCTCGTTAACTACAACTATCACCCTCCCTGTTAAATTACAAAAATTACACTACCCATCAATTTCTAATCTCAATTTTCCTTTCATTTCGTTGTTGGAATTGTTACCTGATCATCCGGAGTCGTTTAAAAAGGATTTTGGTGAAATAAATTATTGTAATGGTACCTTAAAGTGGTCTGTTTTTCATTAAATATTAGTTCTGTGTTCACATTGAGCTCTCAGGATTTCATCCTATAATGAATTACCCATTCGGTTTACCAAGTTCTTCGTAACTTATATATATATATATATATATATATATATATATATATATATATATGTTTGAATAAAAGACAGACCACGTTAAGATTCCATGTAATAAGCTATTTCACCATAATCTGATGATCCAGAACCCTGTTAAAGGGGTTATGATGGTCTGTCTTTTATTCAAATCAATATCTGCTAGATTTGAATTTTACATTGAGCTCTCTGGATATCATCCTCCTCAGGTATACCCATACGGATTACCTAAATTTGAATAATCTATATATATATATATATATATATATATATATATATATATATATATATATATATATATATGAATCTGTGGGATAACGATATATGTATATTTTTTATATAATTTTTATATTGATATATAAATGGTTTTGAAAGAAAAGATGTTTAACAATTTAGAAAAATCGTTTTGTGACGCATTTCATACGTTAGGACTTCACATCGTGTTTATGAAAAAATAAATACGCAAAAATTTTCTCTGCCGGGCGCCGATAGCCTAGAGGTTAGAATATCCGACTGATACCAAATCGGTCAGCTTTTGTTTCTGGCCTGAAACGATCGGATGTCTAGTCACACTGATGACCTATAATACAGCGAAACAGTCTACATGTTGATGACTATATATATATATATATATATATTTATATATATATATATATATATATATATATATATATACACGAGGTCTCACGCAGCTAAATTACGCAGAATGAAGCTGCATAGACTTCTGCCGTGCAAACACACAAAGTTATAACGTTCTCGTTCAATTCTATTGTTTATAGCGTTGTTTGGAAGGAAAGTGTGTAGAATGTGGTCGTCTTGCCACACCACAGAGGTTGCATCAGTGATCATGGCATATGCAGCAATTTTTAGGCAAGGACAAGATTCTTCAGATCCGACAACCGCCATAATCCACTGATCTCGCCGCTTTTCGAAGTTGTCTAAATACCTAATTGATAGGTGTTGTAATATATTTTTTATCGCACCAGACCCTATAATTTTTTTATCAACCCTCGTATATACACGATGGGTCAAAAATACTTTTACAAACTTTAGGGGTGGGTTACTCACACCAGAACAAGGACAAAACCCCACATATATATGTGTCCGCAAATCCTTCGTTTTTGAGTTAGTAAATTTAACGGAGACTTACGGTAGATGAAGCTGTGTTGCTATGAAGACTAGGTTACATTTGTCACTCGTGTTTATTTGTGGCTAATCTGTCTTCAACGTTTAACGTCTGAAGTTGTGAGTTAACTGAGAAGTGTCCCATTTAACAATGACGGCATATTCATACAGAGTTAGTAAATGTATCTCTGATACACCCTATATATAGATTTCAGTGCTAACCACGGTTTCAGATATCCATTGAAAGTCTTGAAACATATCCGTCGTCGATAAAGAGGAACTACTACATTTGTGATTTCTGCATAAGTAAAAGTCATGTAAATTTAATTTGCCTAAAAATCTGAATATTTATTCCAAGAGATTTTATGATTAGAAATGCGCTGAGAATAAATATTTGTAAAAATATGAAAATTAAATCAAATCAACGTGAAGACTGGGAGGAACACTGAATATTTTCCATGTCTCATGAGATTTGTTAAATTTGTATTAGGTTAAGCAAAACGTTCTCGCTCACTTAGGAAGCGGAAAGAAAACAGCAAAATTGTAAGAAGCAACACCAAGATTTATTCTTCAAAATAAAGCCCGTCATTCTCAACGTTCTTCTGACAATGATCAGCCAGGATCCGAATCTGTCCCAGATGCCAGTCCACTGGCTTTGAATAAATGTTTTGTACACAAGCTTCTTTCACTTCATCAAAAGTGTTGAATCGCTGGTCGCTTAGAAAGTGTGCCATATATGAAATAGGCTATACTATATATATATATATCGGGAATGAATTTGGATGTGGAAATTCTCAGGTTTTAATTTGCATCTATTTGAACTTCTCCTTAGTCACGCCGACAGTGTGTTGCCTCTCATTGTCTTGCTAAAACAAAGCCCGACCTCTTTTTTTTTTTTTTAGTTTTACACGCGGTCTAGATGCTAGCAATACAGTTTAGCGTTAATGGTGCGACCGTTTGAAACAAGTTCGAAATGCATTACTCCTTGGAAATTTTACCAGACAGAAAATCAAGATTCGTTATTTTCTTTCCGTTTCCTTCCTGGCCAAACCTCGTGTTTGCATTTCATACACCAAATGGAACAACTATTTTGCGATATAAGTAGTATTTACTAAACCTAGCGTTGGTCGATACAGATCGAGATCTTGGGTATTATAGTAACATAGATCCTATCAGAAAAAAAAATTCAAAAAGAAAAACAGAAAAAAAAGTCTTCTTCAACCATATCACGTCCAAAACACCAGTTCCATTATGATCACCGAAGTTAAGACACGTTGAGTCTGGCCAGTACCTAGATGGGTGACAGCTGAGGAATACCAGCTCGGAATAAGCTCGTATGTGCAGCTGGTGTAATGAATACTGGTCAGGAAATATAATCGGATAGAATTATATGCCAGTATCGTTATATATATATACGCGCAAATATATATTTGGGTAATATATTAATCAAACTCCGCCCCCTAACTATGGGTCAATTAGTAAGACATGGATAACGAAAGTCATTATCTTCCCCAAAATCTGTTTACAAACTAAAAAATATTTTATGGCTTTTGACAAATTACGAAGAACATCAATAAAAACCTTAAAAGTTATTTTATATATATATATATATAATAAAATTTACCATATGAAGTATATATATATACACTGCAAACGTAAAATTTTTTACATTACGCAGATGTATGAAAATTTCAATATTGCGCAGGTCCATTTTATAATATTGTTTATGAAAATATTATTATTATATATATATATATATATATATATATATATATATATATATAAAATACATTTGTAGTGTATGTATATATATATATATATATATCATCATATATATATATATATATATATATATATAAAAAAAATGACATGATAAAATTTGTTTAATTGCGCAGATCAGTATGAAAATTTCAGTGATTGCGCAGGTCAGTGTTGCTTCAAATATTGTGTGAAAATTTTGTGTGAATTGATTGAGGGTGTTTTGAAATATTAGAAAAAGTTATCTCGATAATAAATCACAAACGCAGTGTATGTATATATATATATATATATATATATATATATATATATATATATATCAATTACGGATATGAAAATTATATATTTCTTATTTACCATAAATTGATGTTTAGATTTATAAATAAAAGAAGGGATTTCAAATCCAATGACAATGTTATTAGAAAAACCGGTGCAACACAATCTTCCTAGATCCTCCTCATCATATGACCTTCTGTTTGACAAAACTAAATTTAATGGGTCACTTACTGAATAATTAATAAATTGTCTCAAAGTCTCCAAGGAAAGAAAACTCTGACTTTAGATATAAATAACTTCTTTATTTGAAAGATATCTCAAGCTATGATAAAATTATATTCATTTTTTTTTAAAGAGTGTTCCCTCTCATCGCGTTTTCTGACATTTTCTATTGAGAATCACGCAAATGATAAGAAGCAAAAAAAAATAGTTAATTCGATTCAACACAGCAGATTTCCAAGATAAAAAAATAATTTGAAAATCTAGTTAATAATGGACTCCACAAATCATTCAGAACTTCGTTGTAGATAAGTTTTTTTTTTCTCTAGGAACTTGACACTAACTATAATATTAATATTTTTTTGAAATTTGTTTGAGATAATAGTAAAAAAAAAAAATTTCTTTTTTCATTTATCCTTGAACAGTAAACTAAGTTGATTTCAAGTTGGATTAATTATTTTCATTATAACAAACATTTTCAAACTAATTCTTTCTCATTTTGTCCGATAAGCTCTTTGGCCTTCATTTATTACCTGATGTTCCGAGATAATATTTTTTTAATTATTTCATGTTTTCGTACGAAGATATTCATACTTGTTGTTTCTTCGTTGACTATATTCTTTATCCTACCTGTTGTAGTCAGAAGATCTTTTATAAAGAATTTTTTAAATATATGCTAATTTAGATATATGGGAAGTGTTGTATTTGTGAATATTTAAAAAAATTGTTACACTGAGATATTAAAAACATATTTGGATCGCCAAAAAAATACATTAAATATTTAAACAGATGTATCAAGAGATAGAAATTTCGAATTTAAAAGATAAAAATACTACTGCATATAACAGGATATCTGTAGGATCAAAAATATTCTTTAATAACAATAGGTTAACTAATAAATAATTGAATAAAATAATTGAATACATAAAAATGTATTTATAAACTCGCGTATCATGCGACCCTTGGAAGACCTAATTTTGAAATTAATTTAACGACAGTAAAAATATAAAGTTTTTTTTAATAATTTTAACAGTAATACGAAAATTTTAAATCAGAAAATTATGCAACCCTATAAAAAATACTTCAAAATTAGGTCTTCAATCTTGCCACAGTATATACGGTAATCATAATCGTTATTAAATATTAATATTGTTTTTATAATATTGTTTAGTGTTATAAAAATGTAATAAATCAAGATAAAATAAATTAAAAGCGGTTAAAGCTAAGAAAGTATTTGTTAGACATTAGGCGTTAGAAATAAGAACACATCTAAATTATGCCATCCTTTAATTTATCCTATAAAAGCAAATATTCAATTAGAAGCAAGTAAAGAAGTAAGTTACCATTCATTTGTGTTACATTTAAACTATGCTTACCTGATAATGTATTTAATATAATGTATTTAAATTTTAGAATAAAATAAATCAGAATGTAAATAAATATCTAATTCACATTTAGGCAGTTTATATATATAATGATAAGAATATTAATTTTTTTTAAGCGTTTCACCCAAGCAAGGCGAGAAGCCACTAGGACGCAAGGGTTACAGAAAATTTAGAGCAAGATCAGATAGGAGTGATAGAAGAAAGGATGAGAAGGAGGATAGTGGATAGATCAAGGCAACTGGAGATGTTGATTGACATTACATTTGAATAGCTGGAGATTATAGCTCTCATGGAAACTGGAATAGGGAAGAGAGTTCCACAGGCGAGAGGTGCGTGACATGAAGCTATTGGAGTAGAAGAGACGGCTACATTTAGGAGTTTCGACAGTGAAAGGGTGAGGGCGGGATGCCAGCCTCGTAGGGCGCTTGAATTCATGCAGTCTGGGAACCAGCGAATGCTCCTCGGGGCAATTGCCATGAATTTGTATTTGTAAAAGAGACAGAGAGAGGCGACGGCGCGTCTGTGAGAGAGCGACTCGAGACGAGATGCCAGAACAGGGCCAATTGGTAACATATATAACTTGGAATATCAAATTATATAAATTATATACACAAATAATAGAATAGAAATGATGAATAATATAATAATAAATAATCATTACTTTCCATTGATGTGTCCTTTAATTTTCATTTTTGTTTCTTTCGAGAAGACATAGAAAACACGGCTGTGTACAGTAGACATCAAAATCAAGCAGTTTGAAAATGTTAACTATTTGGATAGTTATTAACATTAAAGGAAAATATATAATTATTTGTAACCTAGATACATTCATTCAATTTAGTTTCAAATAGAATAAACATTTAATTATATATATATATATATATATATATATATATATATACCTATTAACATGCCAGCTAAAGTATTCACATAAAAATATAAATATATTCTCATAGATAGATGAACATTCAAACACAACTATATATAAATAATATATATTTACACACACACATATATATATATACTTGCATACACGTGTAAACATATATATTAAGTTATTACATAAAACCATACTTATTATTTATAACATCCGTTATGTTATTATATACAACAATCACTGTTTTATTAACCCTTGCATTCACTGTGAAATATTATATATATATATATATATATAGAGAGAGAGTCAAATAAATTGCTGTTGGAATGTATCACAGCTCATCAAAATATGGCTAGACGTCCAGCTGCCTGTTAATATTTTAAAATAGAAGCTGAATTGGCTTCAGTCGGAGAATCTATCGCTAAGCCGTTGGCGCATAGCAGGCATGAAGGTGAATTTAAGCGTATTTATTTTTCGATAAACACGCCAGTCACTGAGAACTCGATTCCTTTTATCGAAGAGTATTGCATTAGTAGCAGTAATAGTGACTGTTTACAAACTCACTTTTTCTTCCCCAGAAAATTCAATCAGAAATAATTTTCAAGAATATATCTATAATATATATATATATATATATATATATATATATATATATATATAAATTTATATTTTCATAAAAAAAGCCTTAAATAAAACCAATCTTAGCACATTTTATGTATGAAGACACATACTATAAAAAAAATAATAATAAACTTAATTAATTCTTATTCTAACAGAAATTAATGCATTTTTTAATTCTAGCTGGTGAAAAAAGTATTCGTACAAATCAATTATTAGAATAAAATAATCAATTAATTATGGAAAAAAGTATATCACGTGAGAGAGGAGTTTCAGCTGTGACAGTCCAGTGACAAAGGACTTGAAAATGAAATCGTACATGAAACTTGTGAGGCCACTTGCTACTCCAGGAAAGAAAGTTAGAAGGTTAGAGAGTGAGAAGATAATCTTGAATAAACTGGAAAATGATCTTGGAATTATATATATATATATATATATTTGAACTTTATTTCAATCCTTCATGAACTTAGCTATGATTAATGATGAACATGTAATTTCGTTTATGATCGATCTCATCACAATTCATCTTTTAAGATTGGGAAGTAATTATACATTCTTATTGCTCAAAGTAGGGGTCCAACAGTGTTATAAAAATGGAGAATTCCAGTAAGATATCTTTAATCATTTTAAGATACAACGGTTTAGTGCTTAATCAAACGATTGAAGAATTTTTGACGTTGCACCAATGGGTATATTTATATATATATATATATATATATATATATATTTAAATAAACCTCATGCATGGCAGTAAACTCACTAAGATGCGTGGAGTTACTGAGTGTGAAAAAATTAGAAAATTGAGAAACACAGGAGTACGAAGGCGGTGTAATCAAATTTTTATACACCCTACGATATATATATATATATATATATATATATATATATATATATTATATGTATTGTGTTGAAATGTGTATTTAGGCAGCAATCCTCCTTTCATGCACATTTCATTGAATACGAGAGACAAACTGTTTTAATTTAGTTTTTATACAATTTCTCATATGATCCAATATTTTTTTCTTTTCAGATGATAAATTAAATGGGAAAATATCGAATGTTCTTATTTCCGAGAGCTTTCAAACACACACACATACACACACACACACACACACACACATTACACACACTCATTATATAAATATATATATATATATATATATATATATATATTTTACGTTTGTATA